ACAAAGCCTCCTGGCCACAGAAAGACCTGTGCATGCTGAGCCCGCTGGTGCCAGTTTACCATCCTCAGTACTTCTAAGGCCGAGTCAGGAGGATCACAAGTTCAAGGCCTGTCTGGATTACATAATGAGATCCTGTTGTAAAAACAAAACAAAAAAAAATCTAAGGACCCATTTTCTTGATAAAAGCAATGGGGACTCTATGATTTCTATTTCTAGTAGACAAAAAAAAAAAGGCATGTACAAAACATTCAGAAAAGATGGATAAATGGACAAGCATTTTAAAGGTATAGTTTGGTGTGCACCTAAGAGAAGAGGGAGGAGTTACGTAAGCACAGGGAATTGGTGTGTGTGTGTGTGTGGAAGTGGTGTGTGTGTGTGTGTGTGTGTGTGTGTGTGTGTGTGTGTGTGCATGCACACATGGAAGCTACAAGATGTCTTTTTTGTAATTACAATCTGTCACTGGCCTGGAACTCACCAGGTAGGTTAGGCAAGCTGGCTAGTGAGCTCTGGGGACTCACATGTCTCCACATCACCATGCCAGCTTTTTCACCTGATTCCTTCGGTAACTATGCCATTTCCCCAGTCAAGTGTTTTGGTTGGCAGTCATTCAGAATCTAGAACTGAGGTGTCCCCATATTCCTAAGGTCCCTAAAGGGCTATGCTCATAATGAAAATAGGAAGAATGAATTGCACTGGCTGTTCCCAGGGAAAAATAGAAGGGTGGCCCTTGGGAAAGGTTATTCCAAGACCACACAACCTAGCCTAGCCACCTACAGACGGATGATTTGGATTTATCCCTGTTGCCAGAGAACTCCAAAGGAGGTAAACTAATTTAGGGTGGTCCAGCCTGGAAATATCCCTGAGACACTTGACTTGAGGGGAAAAAAATCGTGGTGTGGCCAAAGCCTTACCCAAGCCTCATAGCATGCCTTTAGTCACTAAAAGTGAGCTCACAGCACAAAATAACACACTCCACCAAGAACCAGAAAAGTATCACGTGCAAATAATAACACTTGAGCAGCACTTTTTGGCTAAGTACTACATTTTCTTCTAAGCTGGACAAACACAAGAAATCAGATGCCCTTTTCTTCACTGAAAAACAAAAAATTGGAGCTGGGCAGTGGTGGTGCACGACCTTTAATCCCAGCACTTTGGAGGCAGAGGTAGACGGATCTCCAAGTTCAAGTCCAGCTTGATCTACAAAGTGAGCTCCAGGACAACCAGGGCTGCACAGAGAAACTCTCGTCTTGAAAAACAAAAGAGAAAAAAAAATGGAAACCCATTTGTCTTGGATACTTTTCTATGGTTGTGACAAGGCAACTTAAAGACGGAAGGGTTTATTGGGCTTAGCGTTCCAGAGGGACAGGTCTACCATCATCACAGTGGAGCCACGTGGCAGCATTCAGGCAAGCATGATGGTTGGATGCCACCATGGAGCTCACATCTCAGAGCACAAGCAAAAAGCAGAGAGAGGAAACTGGGAATGACACCTCGCCTTTGAAACCTCCAAGCCAGTGGCATATTCCTACTGTAAGACCACACCTTCTCAACCCAACTCCAAATTTACACCAACTGGGGACCAAGTATTCAATGTCTGAGACTATTGGCGACATTTCACTCAAGCCACGGCATTAGAAAGAAGGGAGAGTGACATCTGTCATATCAATCCACAAAATGAAAGTTGCAAGTAATAAAATAACATACAGCTGGAGACTTCATTTTTTTTCCTGAAAAAGGACCAAGGTTATGTGTTTGTATGTGTATGTTGTATGTAAGACTTTTATGGAGATAAACATCCCAACTTATTCAAGGGTAGGATTGAAGGAGAATTGAAGAAGATGGGTTTGTTGTTGTTGTTGTTCCTTATGGATTGTTTGGCTGCTTTTATTTTTACAATGAGCATATGTAACTTTAAAAAACAGGGAGTATTCTAAAGAAGTCTTCTGTTTATAACAGTAGCAGAGATTTTGAAAACAATGGATAAAATCCCATTTTGTAAGTATGGGACAGCGGCTGGCTGCATGGAAGCTGAGTGCTGGGCCAGGAGGACAAATTCAGTGCTCTGGGACTATCACCTCAAACGCAGTTACTAAGCTGGTTTTCAGGAAGTATCCTCTCTGAGAATACAAGTCATCTTGAAGACCTTGAAAATGACTGAAGAACTGACTGCAGGTCAGATACCTCACAATGTCGACGCTGTGGTCATGTGCCAAGATTATTTCACATCATTAGAAACAATAGCTCACCCATGCCTGGTGCTTGGCCCAGGGTTAGTTAGGTAATTAAGAAAATCTATTCTGAACAGATTAATGAGCTGCATATAAGAACATATTAATAGAAAAAACGAGCAACTCCAAGACATTTTGAAGAATTATCTAAAATGTCTTTAAAAAAAAAAATCTTGCTTACCTATGTAGGAAGATGCCATGGTGACACCTATTACTTTGTATGCTAACCTAAAAGATTGTTATGAATTTGTTGTAAAAAAAAAAAAGGGGGGGTCTTGTGGAGAAAAGATGCTTGCTAATTTTATAATCTAGAGAAATAATTTGCTATATTATAAAGATAAAGACCTTGCTGAGAGATTTAATGAAGGAAAAGAGAGCGCTTTTAAGACAGTATTTTAAAATGGATAGTTCGGGGATTTTTGTTGTTTTTGCGTTAAAATTAGCATCTGAAATCTAGAAATTGCAAAATGAATTTTGGGGCCACTAACTGGCTGAGTGGGCAAATGGGCTTACAACCAAAGCTGAAGACCTGAGTTTGATCCCTTCGATCGCCTTGGTGCAAGGAGAAAATCAACTCTGCAGATTGTCCTCTGACCTTCAAACATGAACCCTGGTATATGTGCACCCACACACCACACAAAATTAATCCCTGTGAAGTTCAAAGGGAAAGGCAGAAGTGTGGGGAAAGCTCTTTTCTTAGAATGACAGAGGAGAAAGGAAAAGAAACAATTCTTAGAAAACTACCATTTCATTTTGTATCAAGTCAGTAATTCAGTCAAGGATCAGCAAGGTACACTAAAGCCCCAAAGTGGAATTTGAAGGATGCTGAATCCACATTGACCTGAAGAATCTCCCACGAATGCTAACAATTTGCAAAGTAAACATAATTTTATAACAGAGATATCCATGTGCACCGAGGATCACTATTCTGTTCGGTAATAAAGGTATGAACGGATGTCTCTTTGATGTGAGCCGATAAAAGAACACAACACCCCTAGTGAAATCTTGCCAAGAATACTTAAATGCAAGCCTCCATTTGCTTATAGGAACCACAGGGGCTAGTTATTACAATGGAGTAGAAGAAAGCAACCAAATCTAGCGAGTGGGCTCTTTCTTTAAGGCAAGTATGCCTATTTTTTTAAAAGCTACTGTCATTTTTAAAATATGGGTATATTATTCTAAACTAAGACTAGAAACGTGTAACCAATTGCAACATGCAATTTCAGTTGACTCCTGGTTGCAAATGGAAGAGGGTAGGAGTCTGCTATTTAAAGTTCTTGAGACAGGCCTGGTGCACATCTGTAATCCCAGAAGTGATGAGGCAGAAACAGGACTGAGTTCAAAGCCATTCTGGGTTATATTGGTTGAAGCCAGCCCAGAGATTATCACATCGTCTCTGAAAATGCCATAATATTTTTAAAAAGCACATCAATATAAATATTTAATGAGTTTGTTATTTCAAGTGTGATCATGATATCATTATACCAGAAAATCTTCTTGCTCTTAGGAAATGCATCTCTGAGTTTTTAAGAGATAAAAGACCACTCCCAAAATACACTTTAAAATAGAGGGCTGGCCATGGGGATGCATGCCTTTGATCCCAGAACTCTGGAAACAGAGACAGGTGGATTTCTGTGAGTCAAAAAACCGGTCTATTCTGCATAAGGAGTTTCAGGCCAGCTAGAGCTACACAGTAAGGCTCTGTCTAATAAACAAAGCAATAGTGTGTGGTAGGGAGATGGCAGGATAACCATATGGCTTTGGCCTACAAAAGCAGCAATCTGGCCTCATGCACAGAGTTAAAGCAAACGTGGCAAAAAATGCTCTAACTTTTGAAGTTGGGTGCTGACTTCACATTTGTTTGCTGTATTTTCTTTCAACTTTCCATATGTTGAAAAAAATGTAATAAAAACTTTCGGGTGGATTCTTCCTAAAACTTTCCCTAACTCATCTAAAATTGGGCATGGTGGTGCACATCTGTAATTCCAGCACTCACTCAAGTGACTATGAAGCAGGACTGTGAGAATTCAAGGCCAGCCAGGGCTACAGAGAGACCCTGTCTCAGAAAAAAAATAAAGAAAAAGAAAAAAGGTGGGCAGGGGACAGATAACAAGATTTACATTAACTTTTAAACTACCCAAACTTTATCTAAAGAAATGGTTTTGGGGTGGTGGAGAGATGGCTCACTGCTTTTGAACACTTGTTGCTCTTGCAAAGGACCTAAGTTCAATTCCCAGCACCCAGAGTAGTTTACAACCACCTGTAACTCCAGTCCACCAGATCTAGTGCCCTCTTCTGACCTCCACAGGCACTAATCAAAAAGTACACATGGTCCACATCCATGCATGCAGGCGAAACACTCACATAAAATAAAATAACAAAAACCTAATAAAATATTTTAAAGTGGTTTGCTTTTCAAAATTTGCCTATTCACTATCCTCTCCGAGCACGGTAAAACCTATGTTAATTATTGTGAATAATATTCTGCTGCTAGAACAAGTCTAATATAAATCTCAAAAATAACACCAATAACCAGCACAAGATTTATAGGTGTAAACATCTGGTTTTTATAACAAATAACAAAGTTAACAGCAATAAAACCAACCATTTAGTACAGCATATAATGTGTTATATTAAATTTACACAATGATATATATAAAAACACATACTGTTTATATCATACAGTAATTCAACAACAAGAATATCAAAACAGGAATACAAACTACTACTCATGCACAAAACATGCATATATTGGTATTTTAAAAAGGCTATTTTACACAATACTGTTTACCAAAAACTTTAAAAAAAAATTTAAAGCCCTTCCAAATAAGTCAGTGGTCCAATGGGAACTGGAAAGCACTAATGTTGAAACCAGAGCTTAGGTGGCACTATTCTCGGTGAGTAATTCTGGGCTTAGAGTCATGCCCATTAAGGGTCAAGGTCTTTGATTCAAACATTTAATCCCCAAGGCAAGCCCTCTAAGGGACAAACGGTTGTACTGGCTACAAGTTAGGAGTAGAAAGGCATCAAGAATTGCTGGATATATGACCCGAGAGAAGGAGGGTTAATGTAACAGACCGGGGCACTACACTTGGCAAAGGTTTTTGTGAATCCTTTTAAGTTCCTGTTAGTGTCCCTGTCCTGGTTGCCACCTCCCGATTCACAGTCTGGTGGTCTACAAGTTCTAAATCCTGTTAAAAAAAAAAAGGGGGGGGTAGGCCTCTGAGAAGTGTTGACTACATTAAAAAATTTCCCGAAAGCAAGAACCATCTTTCTACCTGTTCTACACAATTTTATGTAATGCCCCTCAACTGGAAAGCCCTTTCAGGGAATAGCCCTAAAGAATCGAGGAGAGAGTTCACTTCTTAAAAATTCCATCCACGGACCCTGGAGACAAAAGGTCTCATCCAAATAAAACCTGAACATCAAAAACCTGTACTTTGCCAGACGCTCGGACAGTATAAACCAAAACCCAGCTGATAATCAAAATCGTTCACTATCACCACCATTAAGACCTCAGTATTCACTTCTAACTAGCGATACATCCTTCACCTTCCATCAAAGGCACTAGCGTCCACACACGACGATGAGACATAACTTATCCTGGGCGTATCCTAATAAAAGGTTAAGTATCCCATTGGAGTATGACACAAATATTGAGACACCACCTTTTTTCTTTTCTTTTCTTTTTTCCTTTTTTCTTTTTTTCCAGAGACTAGGGGGTAGGGGAAGCCACTCGCTACAGGAGCTCCTCAGACGGTCGTCATCAGTTTCAGAGAGCCAGACCGGAAGCGGAGGATCTTCTTCTTGAGGTTATGCGAAGCCTTGATCTTGACAAAGGTTTTCGTGGGGCAGGTGTGCAGGTCTGGGGCCGTGACCGTTTGAAGCGGCAGGGTCTGGACAAACTGGGACCAGATCAGGCCCCCGCTCTCCTCCGAGTCGCTGGTGGTGGTGCTCTCGCCCACGAACTCGCCCTCGCTCACGCTCGACTCGCTGTCGCCGAAGCAGTTGGTGGTGTAGTTGCTCTGCTCGTCCTCGCTCGTGTCCACCACGGTGGAGTGGAAGAGCGACTC